TTTATAAGCTAGTTTTTCGGCGACTGAAAAATAAAAAAGTATAACTTGTACTTCTTGTACTTATATTAGCTATTCTAACTGCTCAAAAGCTGTTAGAATAGCTAATATAAATAGTAAAAACAAAAAAAAGCATCCCTTACCTCCAGTTAAGGGATATGAACCTGGTTCGGAACATTTATCTTATGTATTAGCTTACGTTGCAGGAATTTGTATAATTTATGTGAGTACTGTACAAACAAGTAAGAAATTACTTTTTCTGCTTCCCCAACGGAAAAAATTAGTGTGAAAAAACGTAGCAAACCGTAACTTCCTGTGATGTACTGTACAGTTTGGTTGGATTTCGGACCACAATTACAGTTTTTTACGTTTTGTTACGTTTGATTATAGTCAACTACAACTCCACACATTATCTTACGATTAGTTACATTTTTTTATAATTCTAAAAAGACACTTGAATCTCGTGGAAAAGAAACTGTAGTAAACTCTAATAAACTGTAAGGAAGTGCATAACAGCATGTGGTAAATCATATCAAAACGTAAAGAAAATGTAAGAAAACGTAACACAACAAAATAAAGTGTAAGAAACGTCCGAAATCCATGAGACTTTTACAGTTCCGTACATTTTCTTACATTTTCTTGTGGGTTACGGCATATTATTACACATGTTGACTTTTTCTAACATTTTTGTTACGTTTTTCAATTTCCACTGAGGTTGTATTCGATACACACATTAAAGTATTAAAGAGGAAAAGGTAATTCACCACTTTGTTGTAGCAGTGAAAACATATTTATTCCACGTTTAAAAATAGACTTTTTTTCCTTGGAACGTAAAGTATCTGTAAAGTTTCAGTAAAATCCGTGAACGAAAAGAAGTTGTAAAATCAATTACTAGATTTACTGTTAACGAACGTATTGAAAGACACGAAACAATGTAAAATGTACATTTATAAAATGTTAATTATCAATTAGTTAACTTAGGCGGTAAATGTTATTCACGAAATGATAAAATAAACATTAGCTTCAGATGTACCTCATAAGAACGTAAATTCTGTCCCGAGTGTCTAATTCACTCTGGCCAAGTGGGAAAGACACTCGACTATCAATGTTCCGGACCAGGTTCATATTATCCCTTTATTGGAGGTAAGGGATGCTTTTTTTTGTTTTTACTATTTATGTTAGCTATTCTAACAGCTTTTAAGCAGTTAGAAGTACAATTTATACTTTTTTATTTTTCAGTCGCTGAGAAACTAGCTCATAAAAATCCACATAACAATTCTGCATGATACTTCTATTTTTTATTTATTTTTATTTATTATTTATTTCATACTCCGTCCCTTACGGGTTTGGAGGGGTTCCGTGACATTTTGTACATTTAATACATACTTAATCTACGCTATATAATATATTCATTTTTACTTCAACTGTTCTTAATATTCTACCTTGTCTTTTGTTAATATAATATTGAAATAAAACAAATTTAATATTACTACAATTCCAATTATACATAACTCAATTCTCACAATTCAAAATTAAACACATGCCTATCAAAAATTAAAAATTTCCAACTTAAATTATCAAAATTATCACAATTTTCTATATTTAACTCCGTAAACAAATTTTCTAATACTACTTAACTATCAAAAATTTTAAAAATTAACAACATTTTTCTTTAAATTATCCATATATTTTTTGTATTCTTCATTCCTCCTTGCATTTTTTCTCTCTTCTTTCTTGTCCTACTAATCCTTCTTCTCTCTTTACTACCTTAACTTTCTGCATACTTTCTTTTATCTTTTAGATCTTTTCTGACTCCTTCCTTTTTCTGATTACCTTTCTTAGCACTTCTATCTCTTTTGCATCATGGCTTAGTATTTTTTCCATTTCTTCTTCATTTCTCGTATCTCCGCAAATCTTTAGTATGTGCCTAAGATCTTCTTCCTCCTTCTTGCATAATCTACACTTCTTATCCTCCTCTCCTTTCCAGTATTCTCTACTTCTGCATTCATTTCCGCATCTAAACCTTGCTACTAACTTTCTATCCTTTAATGGCATATCCTTTTTCAAGTATTCTGGTTCATCTTCTGTTCTTATACCTTTATATGTTCTGTTGTACCGTGAATTCTCTATCTTTTCCATTCTCTTCTCTTTTTCTTTTCTTTCCTTGTTCATTAATATTTTTTCTCTTACTTCCTCCCTAAATTCTACTCCTTTCATAAATCTTGTTTCTTTTACTTTCTCTTGCCGTAGTAATTCAGCTCTCTTTTTTGAGTCCTTTCCTATTCTCTCTCTTTCCTTGTCCTTGTCCTTTTCTCTTATGCATTCTTTTACTAATTTTATGTCTGACTCCCTAATTTTCTCTTCAAACTTTAACGCTCTCCTTAACGCTTTTATACTCATCCTTTCTAATCTACACTCCTCCTCCACTATATAATTTGGTGTATTGCTGTCTAATCCTAATATCCATTTCATATATCTTCTCTGTACACTTTCTAGTCTTTCTTCTTCTTCCCAGCCCCACACTTCCGCACCAAATAGCGCTATACTTTCTACTAGGGCTGTAAATAATTTTCTTCTTCTTCTATAGCTATTCTTAAATATTCTTTCTCCTATGCTCCACGCATTTTTCATAGCTATCACTGCTTTCCTTTTCCTTTCTTCTATATGCCTATCGTTTCTCCCATTTTTCTGTAGTATATATCCTAAATATCTTATTTCATTTACTTCTTCTAATTCCTTACTTCCCCACTTCCACCTTCTATCATTCCTCTTTCTTTTTTCGAACACTAAAATTTTCGTTTTTTCCTCACTTAAAATCATCTTCTTTTTATTTATGTACTTTTTGAATCTCTTTAACATCTCTTTCAATTCTTCTTCTCTATCTGCTATTAATACTATATCATCCGCGTAAGATAGACTCCATACTTTTTCATTACCAACTCTGCATCCTCCCACCTGCCCTTTCTTTAATTCCTGCTCCAGATCCGCTAAGTACACGTTAAACAGCGTCGGGCTCAGTGGGCAGCCTTGCCTCACACCTTTTTCTGTCCAAAATTCCTTGGATTCCTCTTCTCCAACTTTAACTACATTTCTCGTTTCTTTATAAATATCCATAATCCTATTTCTTAGCTTTTCACTCACTTCCATTTCTATTAATCTTTCCTTTAAAACTTTCCTATCCACTCGATCAAATGCTTCCTTTAAATCAATAAAACATGTAAATAATTTTCCTCTTTCTTTGCTTAATTTTTCCTCAACAATGTGTTTCAATGTATATATAGCTTCTATTACTCCTCTCTTTTCTCTAAAACCAAACTGGCTTTCTGATAATTTACCTTCGATTTCCTTTTTTAACATCTCATTTAACATACTCGCATAAATCTTATATGCTGTACATGTCAATGTCACTCCTCTATAATTTTCTAACATATCTTTATCACCTTTTTTGTGAATCAAACAAATCGTACCTTGCCTCCACTGATCCGGTAATTCTCCTTTTTTCCATACTTTTTTCAGCAATTCCCACAGAGCTGCATCCACTTCTCCCGGCATGTACTTCCACACTTCATTTTCCAACTTGTCTTCTCCTGGTGCTTTTCCTACTTTTAATCTGGCTATCTGCCTCTCGAACTCTTCCTTGCTCATTTCTTCCTGATCCACTGCATTTGTTCTTGCCTCATCCTTTCTTGTCTCTTCCCTCACAATTCCTTCTTCATTCTTCCCATCTAACTTTTCCATAAAGTACCTTCTCCACTCTTCTACTGTGAACTTTTTAGATATTTCTCTCCTTCGTTTTTTCCTGTACTTGTTTATATATTTCCACACTTCGCCTTCCGATGTTGCATTTTTTATCTCTTCTTCTTCTAATCTTTCAAACCTTTTCCTTTTTGCCTCACACCAGTTCCTATACTCTCTTTTTTTATCTATGTAATAACTTCTTTCTATTTTCTTTTTCCTCCACCTTTTCATTATTCTTCTTAAATCCTTCTTCTTCTCCTTCCATTCTTTATCGTGCCATTTTTTATCCCCCATCTTCCACACTCTACACTGTTTTTCCACCTTAGGTACTGCCCTATCTATTTTTTCTTTCAATTCACTCCATCTTTCTTCAATCTCTTTTCCCTTTCGCTCCCAGTCTTTACACCTTTCTCCATACTGATCAATCAATTCTTGAGTCCAATCCCTCCTTGCCTTTGTTCTCTCTTCTTTCTCTACAATTCCTACCTCTACTTCTTTTTCTAGGTATACTTCTAGCGGCATATGATCTGATTCCGCTCTTTGTCCTATCTTCATTTCCTTAATCTGATCTAACGCTTCTTGACATCCTATTGCGTAATCTATTACCGACTCTCCTCTGCTACCAACGTATGTGAATTCTCCTTCTTCTCCTTTTTGCCCATTTACTATACACCATCCTTCTTCTGTTATTTCTTTTATTAGTCTTCTACCTTCCTCATTGATCTTTTCGTCTTTCGACTTTCTTAACCTTACGTCCTTGTCGTCACTATCACTCTCATTATCACTTTCATTAATCCAACCTCCTTCTCTCCCAGTTCTTGCATTCCAGTCTCCTAGTATAAGTACGCATCCACTTTCCTTCGTTTTTACTTTTTCCTTTATAATTCCCATCGTCTCTGCTACATTTTGACTATATACTCCTATGATCTTCCAGTTCTGATTTCCGTGTTTAATCTCCTGCATTACTATATTATCGCTCCATACTTCATGATTTCTACTCTCCAGTTTTTTGCTTATTCCTAATATTACTCCTCCTTTCGCTCTACCTTTTTTATGCTCTCTAGTCGCTGCTATACACTTCCACTCATAGCTTTTTGGCAACTCACTTTCTACATTAGTCCACTTGTCCTTTTCCAACCATGTCTCTACTAACATTATCACATCAAATTCACTTAAATACTTCCACACTTCACTGTCCTTATTTAGCACTCCCGCAATGTTCCACGCACAAACACTAACATTTCTTCTTCTCACTCCCTCCTCCTCTACATCTTCTTGTTCTCTTCATTCTTGGCTCCTTCTTCTTTCCTCTGTAAAATCTCCTTTCCTTTCATCAAATCTAAGCCATTTACCATCGATCAAAATCTTCATATATCCAACTTTTGTATTTTTTCCTTTGTTCCTCTGCTCTTTTGACTTGTTTAAAATAAATCTTTGGATCTCTCTTTCTCTCTCTGTTAGATCGCTTTCTATGTAAACTCCTCTCTCCAGATGTTTTTTATTTCTCATTACTTCTTCTTTCATTTCTTTACTTGCCAGCCTTACTACCACCAACTTCCTCACATTTTGACCAGCGTTTACACTTATCACTTTAGCCTTCTCTATCTTGACTTTTATTTTTATCTTTTGTTCAATATATTCTTCGACCTTCTTCTCCAGATTCTCTCCTTCAATATTTGCTCCTTTTATAACAATGTTCGGTCTCCTTTTCTCTCTCTCAGCTTTTTCTGTTTCCCATTCCAACTTGCTTATTCTTTCTTCTAACGCCTTCTTTTCTTCTGTCCACTGTTGCCTTTCTTTTATCCACATCTGTTTTTCCTCTTTCCAATCTTCTTCTCTTCTTTCTAGACTACTAATCATGCTGTCCAACTTCCTTTCCAACCTGCTCATCTTATCGTTTAATTCTTTATTCTCCTGATTTTCTTTTGTAAAATTCAATAGAGTCTGTTCCTTTAATTTTGTATTTGTATTATTTCTTGTATTCATACTTGCTGCAGGCGGCTTTCCGGCCATTTTTTAAATTTGCCGATAATGCAGTTTTCTACTTTACCGATCCACACTTACATCGGTCAGAGACTATATTTGCCGGCCTTACTCGACAAAGTAGTGACCTTCCTTACCAACCTCATTTTTTCCTTTTTTTCGGGGACGTTCCTTATCTACCTCTTAGATTACCCCTTTTATAGACCTCTTTCTCCAGTTGCCGCTTCTTTCTTCCTGTAATATATTTTTTAACCTCACTTTCTTTCGAACTTCACTGCACTTTTCTTTTACTATCACCACTTTAACACTGTTTTCCTGTCCTCTTGTCTCTCGTTTTTCCNTATTGACCTCTTTCTCCAGTTGCCGCTTCTTTCTTCCTGTAATATATTTTTTAACCTCACTTTCTTTCGAACTTCACTGCACTTTTCTTTTACTATCACCACTTTAACACTGTTTTCCTGTCCTCTTGTCTCTCGTTTTTCCGCTCATTAATACCTTTTTTTATTATCCCCTATTCTTACTACCCACTCCTTACTTACCTTACACGTGTTCTCTTTACCCTGACACTACCACACTAATCTCACTTCATCCTTTCAAACTTTCATAATTATTAACTTTACACTTTTTTCTCAGCTGCTTCTTCACTTTTTACACTTCCTCGTACTTTTATTTCTTTTATTTTACTTTAATTATTTTTTAATTACTCTTTCCTACGGAGCGCTCTCTCGACACGTCCGCACTCTCTCGCATGCACAACGGAACTCCTTATTAAATCCTTGTTCATTAATATTTTTTCTCTTACTTCCTCCCTAAATTCTACTCCTTTCATAAATCTTGTTTCTTTTACTTTCTCTTCCCGTAGTAATTCAGCTCTCTTTTTTGAGTCCTTTCCTATTCTCTCTCTTTCCTTGTCCTTGTCCTTTTCTCTTATGCATTCTTTTACTAATTTTATGTCTGACTCCCTAATTTTCTCTTCAAACTTTAACGCTCTCCTTAACGCTTTTATACTCATCCTTTCTAATCTACACTCCTCCTCCACTATATAATTTGGTGTATTGCTGTCTAATCCTAATATCCATTTCATATATCTTCTCTGTACACTTTCTAGTCTTTCTTCTTCTTCCCAGCCCCACACTTCCGCACCAAATAGCGCTATACTTTCTACTAGGGCTGTAAATAATTTTCTTCTTCTTCTATAGCTATTCTTAAATATTCTTTCTCCTATGCTCCACGCATTTTTCATAGCTATCACTGCTTTCCTTTTCCTTTCTTCTATATGCCTATCGTTTCTCCCATTTTTCTGTAGTATATATCCTAAATATCTTATTTCATTTACTTCTTCTAATTCCTTACTTCCCCACTTCCACCTTCTATCATTCCTCTTTCTTTTTTCGAACACTAAAATTTTCGTTTTTTCCTCACTTAAAATCATCTTCTTTTTATTTATGTACTTTTTGAATCTTTTTAACATCTCTTTCAATTCTTCTTCTCTATCTGCTATTAATACTATATCATCCGCGTAAGATAGACTCCATACTTTTTCATTACCAACTCTGCATCCTCCCACCTGCCCTTTCTTTAATTCCTGCTCCAGATCCGCTAAGTACACGTTAAACAGCGTCGGGCTCAGTGGGCAGCCTTGCCTCACACCTTTTTCTGTCCAAAATTCCTTGGATTCCTCTTCTCCAACTTTAACTACATTTCTCGTTTCTTTATAAATATCCATAATCCTATTTCTTAGCTTTTCACTCACTTCCATTTCTATTAATCTTTCCTTTAAAACTTTCCTATCCACTCGATCAAATGCTTCCTTTAAATCAATAAAACATGTAAATAATTTTCCTCTTTCTTTGCTTAATTTTTCCTCAACAATGTGTTTCAATGTATATATAGCTTCTATTACTCCTCTCTTTTCTCTAAAACCAAACTGGCTTTCTGATAATTTACCTTCGATTTCCTTTTTTAACATCTCGTTTAACATACTCGCATAAATCTTATATGCTGTACATGTCAATGTCACTCCTCTATAATTTTCTAACTTATCTTTATCACCTTTTTTGTGAATCAAACAAATCGTACCTTGCCTCCACTGATCCGGTAATTCTCCTTTTTTCCATACTTTTTTCAGCAATTCCCACAGAGCTGCATCCACTTCTCCCGGCATGTACTTCCACACTTCATTTTCCAACTTGTCTTCTCCTGGTGCTTTTCCTACTTTTAATCTGGCTATCTGCCTCTCGAACTCTTCCTTGCTCATTTCTTCCTGATCCACTGCATTTGTTCTTGCCTCATCCTTTCTTGTCTCTTCCCTCACAATTCCTTCTTCATTCTTCCCATCTAACTTTTCCATAAAGTACCTTCTCCACTCTTCTACTGTGAACTTTTTAGATATTTCTCTCCTTCGTTTTTTCCTGTACTTGTTTATATATTTCCACACTTCGCCTTCCGATGTTGCATTTTTTATCTCTTCTTCTTCTAATCTTTCAAACCTTTTCCTTTTTGCCTCACACCAGTTCCTATACTCTCTTTTTTTATCTATGTAATAACTTCTTTCTATTTTCTTTTTCCTCCACCTTTTCATTATTCTTCTTAAATCCTTCTTCTTCTCCTTCCATTCTTTATCGTGCCATTTTTTATCCCCCATCTTCCACACTCTACACTGTTTTTCCACCTTAGGTACTGCCCTATCTATTTTTTCTTTCAATTCACTCCATCTTTCTTCAATCTCTTTTCCCTTTCGCTCCCAGTCTTTACACCTTTCTCCATACTGATCAATCAATTCTTGAGTCCAATCCCTCCTTGCCTTTGTTCTCTCTTCTTTCTCTACAATTCCTACCTCTACTTCTTTTTCTAGGTATACTTCTAGCGGCATATGATCTGATTCCGCTCTTTGTCCTATCTTCATTTCCTTAATCTGATCTAACGCTTCTTGACATCCTATTGCATAATCTATTACCGACTCTCCTCTGCTACCAACGTATGTGAATTCTCCTTCTTCTCCTTTTTGCCCATTTACTATACACCATCCTTCTTCTGTTATTTCTTTTATTAGTCTTCTACCTTCTTCATTGATCTTTTCGTCTTTCGACTTTCTTAACCTTACGTCCTTGTCGTCACTATCACTCTCATTATCACTTTCATTAATCCAACCTCCTTCTCTCCCAGTTCTTGCATTCCAGTCTCCTAGTATAAGTACGCATCCACTTTCCTTCGTTTTTACTTTTTCCTTTATAATTCCCATCGTCTCTGCTACATTTTGACTATATACTCCTATGATCTTCCAGTTCTGATTTCCGTGTTTAATCTCCTGCATTACTATATTATCGCTCCATACTTCATGATTTCTACTCTCCAGTTTTTTGCTTATTCCTAATATTACTCCTCCTTTCGCTCTACCTTTTTTATGCTCTCTAGTCGCTGCTATACACTTCCACTCATAGCTTTTTGGCAACTCACTTTCTACATTAGTCCACTTGTCCTTTTCCAACCATGTCTCTACTAACATTATCACATCAAATTCACTTAAATACTTCCACACTTCACTGTCCTTATTTAGCACTCCCGCAATGTTCCACGCACAAACACTAACATTTCTTCTTCTCACTCCCTCCTCCTCTACATCTTCTTGTTCTCTTCATTCTTGACTCCTTCTTCTTTCCTCAGTAAAATCTCCTTTCCTTTCATCAAATCTAAGCCATTTACCATCGATCAAAATCTTCATATATCCAACTTTTGTATTTTTTCCTTTGTTCCTCTGCTCTTTTGACTTGTTTAAAATAAATCTTTGGATCTCTCTTTCTCTCTCTGTTAGATCGCTTTCTATGTAAACTCCTCTCTCCAGATGTTTTTTATTTCTCATTACTTCTTCTTTCATTTCTTTACTTGCCAGCCTTACTACCACCAACTTCCTCACATTTTGACCAGCGTTTACACTTATCACTTTAGCCTTCTCTATCTTGACTTTTATTTTTATCTTTTGTTCAATATATTCTTCGACCTTCTTCTCCAGATTCTCTCCTTCAATATTTGCTCCTTTTATAACAATGTTCGGTCTCCTTTTCTCTCTCTCAGCTTTTTCTGTTTCCCATTCCAACTTGCTTATTCTTTCTTCTAACGCCTTCTTTTCTTCTGTCCACTGTTGCCTTTCTTTTATCCACATCTGTTTTTCCTCTTTCCAATCTTCTTCTCTTCTTTCTAGACTACTAATCATGCTGTCCAACTTCCTTTCCAACCTGCTCATCTTATCGTTTAATTCTTTATTCTCCTGATTTTCTTTTGTAAAATTCAATAGAGTCTGTTCCTTTAATTTTGTATTTGTATTATTTCTTGTATTCATACTTGCTGCAGGCGGCTTTCCGGCCATTTTTAAATTTTGCCGATAGTACAGTTTTCTATTTTACCAACACTCACTTATATCGGTCCGAAACTCTATTTACCGGTCTTACTCGACAAAGTAGTGACCTTCCTTACCTACCTCAATTTTTTCTTTTTTTTTTTTTCAGGGACGTTCCTTATCTACCTCTCAGATTACCCCTTTTATCGACCTCTTTCTCCAATTGCCGCTTCTTTCTTCCTGTAATATCTTTTTTAACCTCACTTTCTTTCGAACTTCACTGCACTTTTTCTTTTACTATCACCACTTTAACACTGTTTTCCTGTCCTCTTGTCTCTCGTTTTTCCGCTCATTAATACCTTTCTTTATTATCCCCTATTCTTACTACCCACTCCTTACTTGCCTTACACGTGTTCTCTTTACCCTGACACTACCACACTAATCTCACTTCATCCTTTCAAACTTTCATAATTATTAACTTTACACTTTTTTCTCTGCTGCTTCTTCACTTTTTACACTTCCTCGTACTTTTATTTCTTTTATTTTACTTTAATTATTTTTTAATTACTCTTTCCTACGGAGCGCTCTCTTGACACGTCCGCACTCTCTCGCATGCACAACGGAACTCCATGATACTTCTATATGGCACGAATTTTCACCTGACATGTCACCTGACAAATAACATGACAAGTCACGTGAATATTTTCAGTAGGGATATCGCAAGTGCCTATCCCCACACAACCCGGGGTACTTATTAGTCGCTTTAATTATTCATAATAAATAAAATAATAACACAAGCGTCTATTCCCACACAACCCGGGGTGCTTAAACTGTCTGCTTTAATTATTTGTGATTAATGAAATAATAACGCAAGTGCCTATTCCCACACGTTTTGGGCTGCTTTCTGGCTGCTTTCATTATTTATGATTAATAAATTACTAACGCAAGCGCCAATACTCACACAACCCGTGGCGCTTACTGGCTGCTTTAATTATTGATAAAATAAATATAATAACGCAAACGCCTATCCCCACCCTACTGCATATTATCACGTGAGAGCTTACATGAGATCCCATGCCATAATTTCACATAGACTTCTCATGAGATTTCCTCATGTAATTTTCTCACATAACTTTCTCATATGTAATTTCTGGTTAATATAATGTGCAGTACTAGAGTACGTTTTTATTCATAACTAGTAAATCAATAGCCTATCTCCGTACAACCCGAAGCGCTTACTGGCTGCTTTAATCATTTGTGATTAATAAAATAATATCACAAGCACCTATCCCCACACAACCCAGGGTGGTTACTGGTGTCACTAGTAGATAGACTAGGCTGATACGAGCACACGCTGAATCCAGCACACGTCCCCTTCCCTGCCCACGTGCACGACCGTGCGCAGACAGCTACGACTCTGCACGAAGCGCTAGGGGTTGTGCACAGCTTCCTTCTCTCTGGTTTGCCTGTAGGAGAGCATGTTGTTTTGTATGTATGAATGAGAGCTCCAACCACACGCTCACATCTGTGAGGTATGATCGACAAATAAGTGTTACCTTTCTAAGGTAATACGTGTACACATATACATGTTTATCTACATAAATAGATAAATACTTACGTACGATGCGTGTATGTATATATCTGTGAGGTATGACAAATAAGTGTTACCTTTCCAAGGTAATACATGTACACATCTACATGTTCATCTACATANTATCAAAAATTTTAAAAATTAACAACATTTTTCTTTAAGTTATCCATATATTTTTTGAATTTTTCATTCTTCCTTGCATTTTTTCTCTCTTCTTTCTTGTCCTACTAATCCTTCTTCTCTCTTTACTACCTTAACTTTCTGCATACTTTCTTTTATCTTTTAGATTTTTTCTGACTCCTTCCTTTTTCTGATTACCTTTCTTAGCACTTCTATCTCTTTTGCATCATGGCTTAGTATTTTTTCCATTTCTTCTTCATTTCTCGCATCTCCGCAAATCTTAAGTATGTGACTAAGATCTTCTTCCTCCTCCTTGCATAATCTACACTTCTTATCCTCCTCTCCTTTCCAGTATTCTCTACTTCTGCATTCATTTCCGCATCTTAATCTTGCTACTAACTTTCTATCCTTTAATGGCATATCCTTTTTCAAGTATTCTGGTTCATCTTCTGTTCTTATACCTTTATATGTTCTGTTGTACCGTGAATTCTCTATCTTTTCCAATCTTTTCTCTTTTTCTTTTCTTTCCTTGTTCATTAATATTTTTTCTCTTACTTCCTCCCTAAATTCTACTCCTTTCATAAATCTTGTTTCTTTTACTTTCTCTTCCCGTAGTAATTCAGCTCTTTTTTTTGAGTCCTTTCCTATTCTCTCTCTTTCCTTGTCCTTGTCCTTTTCTCTTATGCATTCTTTTACTAATTTTATGTCTGACTCCCTAATTTTCTCTTCAAACTTTAACGCTCTCCTTACCGCTTTTATACTCATCCTTTCTAATCTACACTCCTCCTCCACTATATAATTTGGTGTATTGCTGTCTAATCGTAATATCCATCTAGTCTTTCTTCTTCTTCCCAGCCCTACACTTCCGCACCAAATAGCGCTATACTTTCTACTAGGGCTGTAAATAATTTTCTTCTTCTTTTATAGCTATTCTTAAATATTCTTTCTCCAATGCTCCATGCATTTTTCATAGCTATCACTGCTTTCCTTTTCCTTTCTTCTATATGCCTATCGTTTCTCCCATTTTTCTGTAGTATATATCCTAAATATCTTATTTCATTTACTTCTTCTAATTCCTTACTTCCCCACTTCCACCTTCTATCATTCCTCTTTCTTTTTTCGAACACTAAAATTTTCGTTTTTTCCTCACTTAAAATCATCTTCTTTTTATTTATGTACTTTTTGAATCTCTTTAACATCTCTTTCAATTCTTCTTCTCTATCTGCTATTAATACTATATCATCCGCGTAAGATAGACTCCATACTTTTTCATTACCAACTCTGCATCCTCCCACCTGCCCTTTCTTTAATTCCTGCTCCAGATCCGCTAAGTACACGTTAAACAGCGTCGGGCTCAGTGGGCAGCCTTGCCTCACACCTTTTTCTGTCCAAAATTCCTTGGATTCCTCTTCTCCAACTTTAACTACATTTCTCGTTTCTTTATAAATATCCATAATCCTATTTCTTAGCTTTTCACTCACTTCCATTTCTATTAATCTTTCCTTTAAAACTTTCCTATCCACTCGATCAAATGCTTCCTTTAAATCAATAAAACATGTAAATAATTTTCCTCTTTCTTTGCTTAATTTTTCCTCAACAATGTGTTTCAATGTATATATAGCTTCTATTACTCCTCTCTTTTCTCTAAAACCAAACTGGCTTTCTGATAATTTACCTTCGATTTCCTTTTTTAACATCTCGTTTAACATACTCGCATAAATCTTATATGCTGTACATGTCAATGTCACTCCTCTATAATTTTCTAACTTATCTTTATCACCT